CAAAAAAACTACAAATTGTTAAATACAAAAATGGAGTTTAATAGTGTGTTAACCATATATTTCAAAAACACGTTGTTTTGTTTGTCAACACAAACAGGTTTTAAACTACAGTATAAAATTTTTGCGGGTTATACGTAAAGTGCGGGTTATCTGTAAATCGCTTTTTATTTTAAAATATTCACACTTTTTGTTTGTGCGGGTTATACGCGACTGCGGGTAATAGCCACGATTTTACGGTATAAACAAATAATTAAATCTTTTTTTAATCAATTTGAATTATTTTAGTTTGTGGCGCTCAATAAATAATATTTGTTAAATTTAAAAAACTTAAATTTTTATAAAATCAAATTAAATAGAAATATATTCACATAGTTGTAATATCTTCAGTTAATAAAAAAATAACATTTCATTACAAAAATTTTAACAATTGTTTAAAAAAACGTTATTTAACAACTCATTGAGTATTCGAATAACTCGTTTTGGAAATGGACAATTTGTGCATGATCCAGGAAGGGGTTTACTTTATGCACATTAAAAAATCTAAAAACAATTTTTCACAATAATGATGAAAATTCCTATTCAAATAATTAATAGTCTCCAAGTTCTCCAATATATTTCAAAAAATAAAGTTAGTAAACTATAATTTTATTTTGTTTTGTTTTAAAAATATCTGACACCTGACAATAGAAGTTAGAACTTCATGATTTTAATTGATTTAACTGATAAATATTATTTTGTTACATTTCCATTATGTTCTGGTTATAATTAATTTTTAAATATAATATTATAATATATTATGTAAATGTGCTATCATTGAAAACAATGCTAATCTAATGCATTAAAAAAATTGAAAATATAGATAAAAATATAAAATTTAAAAAATATTGTTGAAATTCTCTATAAATTTAGAAAATACAAAATATTTTTGGCAACGCTTATTAAGGATTGATAATAAGTTATTATATTTAAGCACCTAATCATGTTGGGCCAGTAAATAATTTTAAAAGGTGCAAATTCTATTTTACATTTTCTAAGTATTGATAATATAAGCTTCTTCAATCTGTTGAATGATGATTAATTTTTTAACGATTTAAAAATTGAGAATGTATGAAAAAATTCATTAATTGTTTATTTTAAAATTATATTCATCGAATTCATTTGACATTAATAATAAAATTTAAAATAATTAATTTGATTTATTAAATATTTTAATTGTAAATGTTATGATAATGTAAATTTTTAAGTAAGTTGTTTAGTTAACGAAATTTGATTATTATTTTAATTAATTATTAGTAAACCATAATTGTTTTATAAATTAATATGACATTTATTTATTTAATGAATTTTTAAAATGTATTTTTCTCATAAATTCATTCATTGTTCAAAGAAATGAAAACGAGATTTAATATGACATGAATTTATAAAAACAAAATGTAAAATATTTTCCCATAAATGATTGGTTTGAAAAATATTTAACAATTGTTAAAAATACTATATATAAGGCAATCGTTTTCATTGTTTTAAATCAGTGCTAAATTAATTCTGTGTATTAGAAAATAAATATTAATTGAAGCATTTATCTGATTTGTGAGCTTAACCTAATTTAAATATTATTAACTTATAATTAAAGTTTTTCTACAGTAAAATGAATTATAGTTTGTTAGCAATCATTACTTATATTGCGGCTAATTTTAGTCCGCATTTAATGTTTAATATAAATGATTATGAAATCAAATACCAGAATAACAGCGGAACCGGTGTTTACGAACAAGTCTTGTACGTAATCGAGATTCTCGAGGCTACAAATGTAATGCCATTCAGTCAATCCCAAACGAAAATAATCCAATTTGAACGCGCTGGTACCAATTTGAACATGGCAAATATTATTTTAAACAGTGGACAAAAAATACCGGTAATATTTGTAGATGGTCACCACTTGAACGATAAGAACGACCCTAATGACATATTTGTGATGAACATTGATGTAAACTTCATTGAAGGTAAGTGTCCATGCTCATTCAATATATTTTACATAGTTTATCCATATTTTTGTGATTTAATATTTGTTACATCATATATTAAGGATTTCAATTAAAACTTAAAATCACCATGGTACCAATGGAAGAGTATTTCATTAAGAACACCATTGACCAGATTAATTTAATTACACCTTATAAAGTATTAATTATCTAATTTATTTAATTTAAAAATTAAGTAATAATTAATAAACGACTGATTGATTTAAATACACAAAATAGGAGGCGTTACAGAAATCAATGAAAACTGATTTAATTTTTTCAAAAATCGTGGAAAACAATGGAAATATTGAATTAAAGGAACATTTTGAAAAAACAACGGAAACAACAGTGAAAACTGAAATATCATTTCAAAACAATTCTGAAATGTTTAACAAATGTCACGTCAAGGCAAGTATTGGTCCACTTTTTAAGGTTTCGTGGTTTGGATTATTTAAGACACAAATAGGAGAGGAGAAGGTGTCGGACATTATCACTGAATTCCGTTCCCTTTTCCTGAACGGCAACTCCAGTACTCATTCCCGTCGCGAGAGCTTTACATTCAAACAGGAAATCCATGTAAAGCCGTATTCGAGTGTATCGATTGAGGGGTACATCAAAACGGTTAAAGATATGACACTACATTTCCAGGCCGTCAGGACTTTCACCGCAACCGTTCCCAGACGTAACCCAAACACTCCGTTAAATGGTTTAACACTTTTCGTGTTAATCAGTAAATATGAGAAACAACACGATATGATTGTTAACAACAATTCAATTGTTGTAAAACAAAACGGTATATATAAGGGGTCGTTCGGGATCAAGACTTACACTAAGGTAATAGACTTAGCCGACAATCAGCCTATAACAAAAGATATGATCACAATCCCCACCACTCCTTCAATCACGACAACTCCCGTCCCTCAAAACTTGACCACAATCTCGACTCCAACTCCAACGCCGGGCACCGGTTCTCGAAATGGGCCACCAATAGAGCTGAAAACATCCTTTAGTACATTGGAAATGGTTATAATTTGTGTAATCATTGTCTTTGGTTTTGTAATTATAATATTGTTGTGGAAATTACGCACATATTATTCTAAACGTCGTTTTAATAGCAATGATGACAACACTATTTATTATGAAAATTATTAAATTTTAATCTCAAATTTTTAAACATTAAATTGTATAATATATTAACTTAAGAATTGAAATAATAAATAATTATATAATATTTAACAATTTCTAAAGTGTTTATTACTGTGTTAACAAATATATTGTCATTGTAACTTGTGGTGCAAATAACTTGTAGTGCAAATTAATTTTCCAAATAGTTTAGTTTTAAAGATAAGTTAAAATAAGTATATATTGCGCCAACGTTATTTTTTTAGTTCATTTAACAAAAAGTTTATTGAAAACTTGTTATTGTAGTTATAATAGTTTTAAAAACGATGTATTTGAATTAATATATACTATACTATATGTTTACAATTATTAATGTCGTGGATAGTATTGGGCCAGTTATATGCGGTTGTTTGCGGACACTCGCGGCCGTACTGTTAACAACATTATTATAAAGTTTAATGTTTACAATTAAAATTATAAAACCCAAAATTTTACATAATAAATAGTCATCATTGTTTACAGTATATATGTACAAAATACACCTACAGTATATATGTACTGTAGGTGTATTTTGATACAAAAATCACTTCAATCATTTGAGTAATAATGGAGTTATACTATAAAAACCTCAGGGAGTCCTTACATAGAGTTACATTGTTTTGCAAAAAGTTAGTGAAAAGCAGTGTTTCACGCATTGAACCCCATGTTAATGTTGTTAACAGTACGGCCGCGAGTGTTCGCAAACAACCGCATATAACTGGCCCAATACTATCCACGACATTAATAATTGTAAACATATAGTATAGTATATATTAATTCAAATACATCGTTTTTAAAACTATTATAACTACAATAACAAGTTTTCAATAAACTTTTTGTTAAATGAACTAAAAAAATAACGTTGGCGCAATAGTGGCAATTTTAGGGATTATTATCATAGATAGTATTGAGAATCCATTGCATGTGATGTGAAACCCGAGGACCACCTCCTCTAGCGCCCGGACGTACGTCCATACACGCCGTTCCCATGCGTTTGTCTATTACGGCATTGATGCCAATGAGTACAGCCACACCGCTCACATACTGTATAATGGGTGACCCAGAATCACCCTGGTGCAAGTGTAACCATTATATCAACAAAAAGTCACAAACAAAACCAAATTATAAATTGTTAAAAACAGAATTACACCATGTTTATAATACATAGTATTTATATAAATTGTAACTCATTTCTTGGTAAAAGCTTTAAAAATGTTGATAAACATTAATAATAGTAGTATAATGACATGTAAAAATGACATACATCACAACCGGCTGTTCCCGACGGGAATGGTATGCGTTTATATTTAAGGTAGTAATTTTGACCCTGAGAATTGTCGGGATAGCCTTTCATGATTTTAGTCCAACCCATGCGTTGAATCCCACTTCCCGTCCCGTTTTCGTTGTCGTCTCCGAAGCCATTCAATAGCGCGTACTCTTCATTCAAATTCGTCACATTCTCTTCGGGCAAACAAATGCTGTTAATTCCCGTCAAACCCGACGACCCGTCCAGTGGTATATCAGTGTTGAGTCGGATTAATGCCAAGTCATAGACGAACCAACCTTTCTGTACGTAATCAGGATTAATGAAATACTGATTGACCGTATAATATGTATGGCTTGAAATGCTTTGGTTTATTAGTCCCGGATATACGCGAATGTCAGTCACCGTACAGTTTGCGCCACAACTGATGATGATAGCAGTTTTATTAATCATGTTACCATTATTATAATAATCTTATATACAGTATTATACAATTATAATGGGAAACACACATTTGCTTGAAAACATTTGTTCAAAGGGCATTTTTTTGAAAGATATTTGCTCGAAAGACATTTGCTTGAAATTTTTAAATTTAATTTGATTAAATACATTAAATTAGTAAATATTATAAATAATATTATTAAATAAGAATATATGAGTATGGCAGAGACTTTAGTACATTTTTAGTACAGTTTTGTCAATAATGTACAATTTCTAAAAATATAATAATTATTAGCAAAACTATTTTATAGATGTATAACATTAACTGAATAGTGAATTTTTCTTACCTTTTGACTGATTCACTACTTTTATGAGTCTGAATATTAAATGACTCATTAAGTCTCTGCCTTATATATGAGTTAGTTTAGGTTAGTTTGGTTAAGTTAGGTTAGGTTTAACAAGTTAATTTTTTGAGCAAATGTCTTTCGAACAAATGTCATAGACTTAAATATAATACTTACAATACACAGTGACCACAAGTTAAGACCCATCGCTCGTTCAGTATTACACCACTACCTGATACCCACCTAAGAATGAGGGAAGAGACAAAGAAAGAAAGAAAGAAAAAAAGAAAGAAAAAAAGAAAGAAAGAAAGAGAGAGAGAGAGAGAGAGAGAGAGGAGAGAGAGAGAGAGAGAGAGAGAGAGATTTCAATAAATTATATATAAACCAAAACTAACCTGCCATTAGTGCGCCCTCTTATCAATACAGTCCACGGCGTTTCTCCGCTTTGTACTACCCGTCCGTTTTGAATGCCCGCAAACATTGTATTACTGTTTGGATGGTATGTAAAGCACGTGTTGTCCATTAGATTCCTTTTCCTCCCGACTCCACAGCCGGCAGTCGTTATATTAGAGTAGAAATGAATTCTCACATGACTTCCGTTATAAGTATTAATCCATAGACTTAACGCTAAAATTAATATTCATTTCAATTTAAAACAACAATACATTTATTAAAAACTTTTCTTACGTATAATAAGTCCTATAATTATCATATAATTTATTAAATCCATTTGTTTGATAAAATTATAAATCTTAATATATTTTATAAGTTATATTTAATGTCTATAAGAATAATATTGTATTAAATATTAAATCATGTGCTGTATATATACTAAATCATATATATTAAACATTTTAAATATTTTATATCATATTTAAAACAAATCTCAAATTTTAAATAAAATTATATGATTTCTCAAAAACAGCTCAAATTAAACACTAATTCATGAGAGAGTGTTAATTAGCAATCATATCAAATAATTAAACTATTGAGTAAACGTCTCTCTATGCTTAACAATATTCGTTTATCAAACAACTAAATTATTTAAAACATTTTCTTATAAATTATAATTTATAATTCATAAATAAAAATAATTTAATATACTATTATTATATTAAATCACAATTCAACTATAAATCATGTGATTTATAAGATTGTTAAGCTATTTTTCATAAAAAGTTTTATTTTATAATTAAAAATGTTATACTTGAAATTTTTAAATAAATTGTTTAGTTAATGAAATTTAATTGTAATTTTAACCAGATATTAATAAAGTCGAATTTATTATGATAAACATGGGTTAATATGACAATTGTTTTTAACCACAATTCAGTATGAATAATGTGGTTTATAGGATCGTTCGGCCCCCCTCCCTTTGGGATTTAACATGGGATTACAGCTTAAGTCTATGGCTATACTTTAACATGGAGAAGCTCTCATAAATTTAACATGGGACGCTTTAACATAAGTTTCTATGGGATTACAGCTTAATTCTATGGCATAGGGATAACATGGGTAATGCTAAGTCTGTGGCAATGCTAAGTCTATGGCAATGCTAAGTTTATGGGTAATGCTAAGTCTATACCAATGATAAGTCTATGGGTAATGCTAAGTCTATGACAATGATAAGTCTACGGCATAGGAATAACATGGGTAATGCTAAGTCTATGGGCAATAATAAGTTTATGTGTAATGCTAAGTTTATGGCATATGGATAACATGTGTAATGGTATATCAATGAGATAATGGGATTATAAATGAATCTGTCTTAATAAATAGAAATAATTGTTGTCAAAAACATTTAAAATTCTCAAAATAATAATAGTGAAAGTATTCTAACAATAGTATTGTAAAAATTAAAAATCTTTGATGCATTTCCCGAATTGTGGTTAACGTATAGCATCGCTGTGTGATCCTTGTTTATAATCCCATTATCCCTTTATATTAATTTTTATAACAAATTCATAGTAAACCAATACACTATGCAAACAATGAAAACAATATAAAGTACAGTATAATATGAAATGAATTTATGAAAACAAAATTTAAAATATTAAAGAGATTGGAAATGTATGTATAAACAAATTTATAATTCAATTAAAGTTTTCAGACATAATTGTTAAGTGTTTTAATTTAAAGTTGGAATTTTTCTAAACTTAAAGTTTAGTATTTCAATAACTGTGTGATAGTTCAAACTTTATGTTTTAAATCAATTAAACAGCTGCTATGAATTTATTTTGTAATTATCGTTAAAGTCTAATGAGATATTTTAATTGTATTTCATAATTTTGGTTCGATTCCAACTATATTTTCCCACAAAATGATTGGTTATGAAATATTTAACATTTTCAAAAATACTATTTATAGGGCAATCATATTCATTGTTTTAAATCAGTATTGTATTAATTCTGTGTATTATTCCAGTCAGATTAGTATTGTTAGTTTAGCCAATAATATTAATTAATAATTATATTTAGCTTTATTTGCAGCAAAATGTATTACAGTTTGTTGGCATTCATTACTTATATTGCGGCTAATTTTAGTCCGCATTTAACGTTAGATATAAACGATTTTGAGATTAAGTACAGCAATAAGACGGGAACCGGTATTTATGAACACATATTTTATGTAATTGAGATTTTGGAGACAACAAATAAATCACCATTTGATAAAACCCGCATGAACATGGTCCAGTTTAAACGGGCTGGTGCCAATTTAAACATGGCTAACATTATTCTAAATATGGAATCCAAACATGAGGTTATTTTCGTTGATGGACACAAAGTGAATGATAACAACGATCCAAATGATATATTTATCATGAACACTGATGTAAACTTCATGCAAAGTAAGTATAATTATTTATTAATGAACGTATAATTATAAACTAAAATTATAAATAAAATGTAAATAAATAAAATGTAATAATTTATAGTATTTTTTATAGTAAATTTTATATAATTGTTCTATATCTTTTTATACTCATAATTTATTAACTATGAACAGGATTTCAATTAAAACTTAAAATAACCATGGTCCAAATGGACACGTATATCATTAAGAATACCGTTGATCAAATTACATTTATTACATCTTATAAGGTATGTATATTTATCTCTTTATCTATTGTCTGGCAATTAATAAATAAATAATTTATAATTTATTTGAAATCATAAAAATAGGAGGCGTTAAAGAAATCAATAGAAACTGATGTTATTTTAACAAGAATTGTGGAAAACGATGGAAACATTGAAATAAAAGAAATGATTGAAAAGACATTGGAAACAATAGTTAAAACGGAAATCTCATTTCAAAACAATTATGATTTATTTAGCAAATATCACGTAAAGACCAGCAATGGTCCCATTTTTAAGTTTTCATTGTTTGGGTTAATTAAGAGTCAAATCGGAGAGGAAAGGGTGTCCGACACTATGCATGACATGCGTTCTCTTTTCCTGAACGGCAACTCCAGTACTCATTCCCGTCGCGAGAGCTTCACATTAAGGGCAGAGATTCATGTGAAGCCATTCACTCGGGTCTCCATAACTGGATTTATAAAAACTGCTAAAGACATGGAATTACACTTCCAGGCCGTCAGGACTTTCACCGCATCTGATCCCAGGTATAAACCAAACACACCGTTAAATGGTTTAACACTTTATGTGTTAATCAATAAATACAAGAAACAACACGATATGATTGTTAACAACAATTCAGTTACTGTAAACCAAAATGGTATATATCGGGGGACTTTTGGCATCGAAACCTACACTCAGGTACGAAACCTACCCAAACCACCAAATGAGGGTGAGTATGATATCACCACAATCTCTGCTACTTCATCAACCACTACAACCCCTGTAACCCAAACGCCAATAACTGTTTCCACTCCTACCATAACACCGGCCATCGGTTCCCAATATTCGCCACCAATAGATCCGAAGACATCATTTAGTTTATTAGAAATGAGTATAATTTGTGTAATCATTGTCTTTGGTTTTGTAATTATACTATTGTTGTGGAAATTACGGAAGTTTTATTGGAAACGCCGTTTTAATGTCAATGATAACAAGACTATTTATTATGAACATTATTAAACTTTTATTTTAAAATATCATTATAATATTGATAAAATTCTAATTAACTTTTATATGATATAATATAATATATTTATATAATTTTATAATTAATATAATTATATTATAACAATCTATATAATGCTTATTCTAAATGCTTAAATTGTTAAATTATAGTTTAAATTAATAAAAGTATAAATGTAACTTATAAATTGTTTAATATCAGTTTATTCAGAAAATTCTCGACATTTATAAGTAAACATGTAATAACTTTAGTGATTGTTATCATAGATAGTATTGACTATCCATTGCATGTGATATGAAACCCGAGGGCCGTCTCCTTTAGCATTTGGATCTAGGTCCACACATGCCGTTCCCATCACACCGTCTACCCGAACATGGATGCCAATGAGTACAGCCACACCGTTCACATACTGTATAATGGGTGAACCAGAATCACCCTAGTGCAAGTGGAATGACCATTATATTATCAAACGAGTCACGAACCAAACAAATTAAGTATTTGTTAAAATCATAAATAAATAGCTATTAAATAATTTAAAATAAATTTTCACAAAGGTTATAGGTATATAAATATATTTAATAACTAAAGCATTTATTTACTTTTGAGTTTATATAAAGCGCTGAATATGCGTACTAATTATTGTGACTAAAATTGAGTGAAACTATTGTAGTAATCATTTCCAGTTAATATTTATAAATTATCGACTATAAATTAACCAGACAGGACCATGATCCGATCTGACGAGTGTTCTATACTATATGTTATTATATATTAGGGCACAATTCAATTTTAATTACAATACATGGAAATACTATACATAAATATTAATGAACAGGGGGTGTACGATTTGTGTACATGGTATATGTGAACACAGATTGAATGTGTGTTCATATACGTATATTAGGTCAGTTTTTAGCGACAATTTTGCGAACTTAATATGTTTAAAATGGTTACATGTGAACAATTGCAAACTAAGGAGGGAGGGGGTCTAGATTTGTGGGAAAATGTAAACGCAATATGTGAAGCAGAACTGTGCTCTAGTATATTGTAAGTATTGTGCATAGGATTGCCAGACGTCCAAGAACGTCGTTGGATTGTCTAAGAAATGGACAATTTTTGCAAAGTCCAGGAAAGGGTAATTCCTGGACATTGAAAATTCCAATAAGTTAATTCCTGACGACGTTAATTGTGAAAACTCTCAGATCGGTTGTTAGAATCTGAATGAATATAACTGTAATATCTTTATACTTTGTAAGAAATATTTTGTAGTGCTTTAATAATACAAATCAATATCAATGATATACAAAGTTAACATACCGTACAAGGGGCTGTTCCCGACGGGAATGGTATGCGTTTATATTTAAGAATACAATTTTGACCCATACTATCGTCGGCGTAGCCTTTCATGATTTTAGTCCAACCCATGCGTTGAATCCCACTTCCCGTCCCGTTTTCGTTGTCGGCTCCAAAGCCATTCAATAGCGCGTACTCTTCATTCAAATTCGTCACATTCTCTTCGGGTAAACAAATGGCGTTAATTCCCGTCAAACCCGATGTCCCGTCCAGTGGTATACCAGTGTTGAGTCGGATTAATGCCAAGTCATAGCCGGCCCACCCTTTCTGTTCATACGTGGGATTAACAAAATACTTACCGCATGTATAGTAGGCATGGCTTGAAATGCTTTGATTTATTAGTCCCGGATATACGCGAATATCATTCACTTTACAGTTTGCGCCACAACTGAGATATCAATTAATATTTGTAAGTATTTCTAATAATTCCGACAATTTTACATATAATATTAATACGTTATATCTTTAGATAACTTTACATACAATAATCCGTGGCCAGCAGTTAATATCCATCGATCATTTAGTATTACACCACTTAATAATTTACCTCTGAAAAAGAGTGAGACTGTGTAAATGCGAGAGAGAGAGAGAGAGAGAGAGAGAGAGAGAGAGACTACAGAGTTTAGAGGGAAGTTAGGTAAATTATCAAAGTTTTTGGAAGTTACATATTTTACGTTTTTTTACCACAATTCAGCTATGAATAATGTGGTTTATAGGATTGTTCGTTTTCCTCTCCCCACTAACCCACCCTATAGGATTTAACATGGGTTAACAGTAGCGTTGCCAGAAATAATTTGACATTTCCTGGAAAATTTGATAATTTTGTTCAAATTTCCTGTATTTTCCTGTATTTGAGATTTTTAAATACTGAAAAATAATAGTGGTAATATTTTCATTGGATTTTGTCATATAATAACTGTTGAAAACCATTTTACAATGGTTACAAATAGTTACAACAATGCTTACACGTTTCTATTATTGGAAATATCTAGAATTCTAATTAAAAACATAGCAACCAATACCTAAAGAGTATTTTTACAGTATATTTTTGAAGAATTTACTTGGTTGATTTTTTAATGTTCAATAATTACCCCTCCCTTCACTCTGCAAAAATTGTCCATTTCCTGTATAATCCAGGACATTCCTGGACGTCTGGCAATCCTAGTTATCAGATTAAATCTATAGCTATACTTTAACATTGGGTTTTGATTCTATGGGGATTTAACTTGGGATTACAGCATAAGTTTATGGCTACAGTCTTTGTATACTATAACATGGGTAATGCTAAGTCTATGGTAGTTCTGTAACCAGTGCAATATAACTAACCTCCCATTTTTGCGAAATGTGATTAATACAGTCCACGGCGTCTCTCCGGTTTGTACTACCCGTCCGTTTTGAATGCCCGCAAACATTGTATCACTAGATGTATGGTATGTGAAGCACGTGTTGTCCATTAGATTCCCTTTCCTCCCGACTCCACAGCCGGCAGTCGTTATATTAGAGTAGCTCTGGATTCTCACGTGATTTCCATTGTAACCATTAATCCATAAAAATAACGCTGAAATTAATATACATTTAACTTCAAACATTAATCTAAACTATGGATGGGCAAAAACACATGACTCAATGTAAACTTGCATAGAAACGCTGCCATACAGCTGCCCTGACCCATACATAATCTAAACGTTGTAAACATTTCTTGCATATAATAAGTTTGATAATTATAAAATAATTAATTAAATTAATTTGTTTACAAAATTTGTAATTATTAATAATATTTCTTTAATAATATAAATATAAATCTTAATCGTAATATATTCTGATTTGTACGACACATGTATTATATTATAATAATAAAAATGTCAACTGAATTCTATACAGTATTTTAAATATTTTATATCATATTTAAAACATATCAAATTGTAAGTAAAAGTATATTATTTTTCAAAAATACATTTTAAGTAACATTAAATGCAAAATTCCTAAAAGAGTAATAATAATTACAAAAGATATCTAATTTTTATATCATTGAGTGTGATATAAATTATTAAATTAATTATAATCGTCTTTCAATAAATAAGAATTTAATTAACAATAACTCGATTTTTAAAATAATGTTATAAATATTGTAGAGACCCTCGTGGTCTCTAAGGTTCGGGTCTGGTCAGGTCACACTCACACAATCACTCAATTAACAATTAATATTTAAATAAAGTTTTATTCAATTCAAAAGCATTACAAACTGTGATAAAAGCACTAATCATTAAAATACACTATAAGTAAAACTCTGTGATAAAGTCATTATTGAAGCCAAGCGTTAATGTCGGCGACCAATACTCAAGTGATTGCAATCAAGCAAAAACTGTGATATAAATTGATAGATATTACATCATGTGATATATTGGTAAAGAGATAGGAATTTGTATTTGTGTTTCAATTTATAAATATTCATTTATGAATACATTATTGTGTTCAGAAAGCGTTCATAACAACTGAATGTTAAATCTAAACAATTAATGTTATCCGGTGTCTACAAATCTCCCTCTGCTTTAGGTAAAAATTATTGCAAATAATTTTTATATATTAACATAAATCGACAAAATTATAAATATGTAATTAATAAAATAAGCATATAATAAGCACAGAAAAAATATAAAAATAATATATATATGTAAGCATAAAAATCTGAATTCAAAACTTAGTGATGATAACAGTTGTGGTAACGGTACTTAAGACAATATCAATGTCGTTCGTCTCGGCTCGCCTCGCGTTGACCAGCAGTTTCTCGTAACATAGAAACACTTCGCTGTGAAATTATGCATAAAGTCAAATGTGTCTCTTTGGTGACGATCACTTTCAGATGGTTGAGTGGCCATTGTCTGAAGACGCGGTCCCTGTTTTCTGGGGCTTGATTTGCTTTAACGATACCATTGAAAACTTATAAACTGACTGTGGAGCCAATGTGTTTGTAGATATTAGCGTTAGATAACTGACGCCTTCAACTCTAAATCGACACGTTTGTAGCTCATTCTTGTTTCGTATCGTGAAGAGTATGTATGCGATGTCGTGAGCCATTGAACTAATTCCAGAGAATGCCTGAGGAATACTAATTGATCATAACTGCTCCGCTTCCGACAAGTTGTAATGATCAAAAAAGGTGTGTATACAGCCATTGATATTGTCAGCTTTTGCCACGACTGTTTAATCACAACATATGTGATTCTAATTTAACTTCCATACGTTTGGTTAATTGTTAGTTAAAGCATTAATTTATGTAGTTGTTTGTGTAAGCATTTAAAAGTAATCATTAGCATATAAGCTATGTATAATTAAATCCATTATAATAATTAAACATTAAATATAGTTATTTATATCTTAAAATAATACCAAGTAAAACTATAATAAAAATTACTGATAATTAAGAATAGTCTATTTAAGACAAGGACATTACATTATATCAACACGGACACAAAATAAACATGAATTTTTATCATTAAAACATTGAATAATTTCAACATTTTCATTCATACTTTAAATCATTCTTTTAACATTTTAAACTTTCATTCATAAATGTATGATTATGACCAATGACGGTCTCATACAAATGCCATACAAGCCAATACTATATTTAGTATTGAATTCTGTGGCTTTTAATCACTGAATTAATAATTAATAAAATTAATATTGTAAATAATTAACAAGGTCACGTATGACCCAAAAAAAAAACAAACGTATTTCTTTCATTAAAATTATCTGATAGTCTATATAACTAAATACTAAATATACCACTATTCAATAACTCCGTCAATTGTGAATTCATTTCATATATTAAATTATAGTGGGCTACCATTGACGGACATAAGGGATTTGACCAACGTCTCGACGCTGTCAGTTGCTCTGTTCTCTTAATCAAATAATAATGCGGGGATTCAATAAGCGCTTCATCATACTTTTTAATAATTTCATTATTTATACCTGTGGGGATATTCAATTTAACAACAACTTCAATGTATAACACGTCGACGTGTATCCCCAAATACATAATTTGTCCCCAGTATTTCAACACATGTGCACATAATTCACTAACTATCAAAGTTAGACGCGCGATTTTCAGAGCATTTACAACAAAACCAGTGTCCTTCTTCTGAGGACTATCTTCAAATGCAGGTACTTGTACGGGGAATACGAGGTCAATACAAGACCACTCAAATATTACTGTTGAGCCGGGATCCCAATTAAATACACATATCTTCAAATACTTAATAAGAGTGTCTCTTTGAATCGGTATTAAATGATTACTGACTCGTGCACAGCCATAATCAATTAAGGTATTGAGCACGTCGTCGGGATCGGAATATCCATCAATTTGGGCCCATGATAAACGTCCGATCTCGAAAAGTCTCAGAGTGGGAACAGTTACAAATTTAATAACCTGAATTTCAATAACTTTAATTAAAAACACTTGTAAAACGTATAAAGCAAATAGAACACTAAATGATCCTTGAGAGAAATTGTTGTAAACTATACTAATTCGAGAAACACTCATATTAATTGGCTCAACAGATTCACCGGTCAGTCAAAAACTGATACAATTATCCTTCCCGTTAATAATCAATCCCATTTTTCTAATAATGTTGTATCCGAGAACAACATTCATTGTTAGCCCCTTTATTACATAAATAAACAAATTTTGATATACCATTAATTGTTATCTCAATTATAACTTTAGTAACACCTGTAGGTATAACCATTTTACCATTTGCCAACACGTATCCATCACCTGTCCATTTATCCATTAACAGGTTATTGGCTTTTATATATTCATCATTTATAAAACAACTACTGGCACCTGTGTCAAGAATACTTTCAACTGCATTTCCGTTAATTTTAACATTAATTATAAAACCAGAGTTTACACTTCCAATCATATTTAATAATCTGACCTCTTGCTCATTATCTTCCGTTTCATCTGATTGGACCATAGCGGCCATATTGTTTCGCTGTCCGTTATTAGGTTCGCGATAATCTTGGTAATTGCGATTGCTTGTGTAGTTCCAGTTGTCTCGATGATAATTCCGCTGGCCATTGAAACTGTTATCATTATCATCAAAATTCCAATTATCTTTATATGAATTGTCATTCATGTCACGGTTTCGGCGATGGCAATTTGTTTGAATATGACCATATATTCCGCAATAAAAACATTTCGGCGATCGTCCAGCTCTATTGGTATAGTATGAACTAATATTATTATACCTGAAATTCCTCTGTGAGTTGTTTTGGCCATTTGAGTTTGCATCTGATCCACTTTGTTGTTCACTATTCATCAAGTTCACTGATTGTGTCAATTGCATAAGTTGACCATCCATCGTGGTACTTGGATCTTGCGCTTGTTTCAAACTTTGCTCAGCTAATTTTGCATTTGCCTGCAATTGATCAAAATTAGTTGGTCGCATACATATTACCTTTTCCGAAATTTCGGGAAGCATGTTAAGCAATATGCTATCGATGGCTTCTTCATCAGTCATCTGTGTATTACTCTTAGCCAAAATACCTCTCATCGCACAAATATAGTTAGCGCTCGGTTCGAATAACTTTTGTTTCCTTTGTCTAAATTGACCTCGCATGTGCCTTGCATAGTTTACAGGGAGAAATTGGTTATAAAATGCAGCTTTTACCTGATCCCACGTTAAGTTCGAGCCATGAACTGTTATATTGAACCAATCTCTGGCGGCACCGATCATGAAAGTACCTAATTTAGACTTACGCTTGTCATCATTCCATCCAATTGATGTACCGAAGTAATCAAAACTTTCCATCCAATCGACAGCCTGTGATTGGGTACCATCGAATTGCTTGGTTCTCGGCTCATTGTTATTCTGATTACTCTGAACAATGTTAGAGATTTCGGTTAAGTCTTGTGCACCTAACGTTACGTTCGCCATGTAACAGGTTGTGGTACGGATAATCTTTCACTCTTTGAAGATTTAGGCCTCGATGAAGTTGAGTAGCTGTCGTTGCTATTGGTTAGACTTGGATTTTAAGTGTCGAAGAATTAGAGGCTATTATTCCTTGTTGGCTGATAACTGATGTACCACTGATTGATGATAGCTGTCTATGATCTGAAAAATCTGTATCTCTTTCGAATATCTCAAGAGCTAAGCATGTTATGAAAACTTTATCGCAAATATTTCATATAAATAACATTTGTTTAAAGGAATTTGTTTATTAATCGTAAAGAATATAAAATGTTTTATAAGGAAACGTTACACAGGATATTGCATATATTGGAAAGTTGTACTTTAAAACTTGTGAAATTTTGTTTATAATTAATACAAACTTTTTGAAATGAAAACTTACATTAAAAGTTGTTTTGTTTTAATTTGAAATGATTAAGTCATAAAAAGTTGTTTTTACAAAAGCATTCACATCCTGTGTTTCATAACGCCAATGATCAAACCTTTGAACCTGAAAAGTCGCTAAATCTAAACAACTATTTGAACCTATATTCTGTAAAATACATAAAATCGCCGTTTTATAGCAAATCATAATTACATAATAATAGAAAATAAAATTATTAATTTAATAAATTTATATAAATGGTTTAGATTAAAACAATTCAATAAAAACACAACAATTAATTAAAATTGTAATCGCAATTAACAGCATTTCTCGCAAAACATAGAATTAATCGTAATTTATTTAATCATTCTTATCGCAAACTTATAGCAAATATATTTTATATATTCAAAAATTTAATCAAAAGGTCAAAGTATACATAAAACAATGTTTTCTTACTATTTGAAGTGCCAATGACTTACTATTAAATATGTTATGGACATTCATACCCGGTAATTACTTGTATGGTTTATAGCAGCCGCGGCTTTCCTTTTAGTGAAAGGTGCCACGAAGTCGACTGGTTTCCCAAACCAGGACCAACTCACGGCTTAAATACACTGCCGGAGTCACCACTGTCTGCCAATGCTAAATCGCCTGCACACCGTTTAGTGACGGTGGCTGCAAGTTGCCGTTGAAAGCGCCTGCACACCGTTTAGTGACGGTGGCTGCGGGTTGCCGTTGAGAGCGCCTGCACACCGTTTAGTGACGGTGGCTGCGGGTTGCCGTTGAGAGCG